CAAAAGAAATCAACAACCTAAATCGACAAATGGTCCAAATAATTATAATTTAAACAAAAAACAAAGAAGCCACGCACAAGTTGTGGCACAACAGATAGAGTTAATGTGTTTCGATGTCAAGTTGTAAACTCATATGTGTGTACCATTGATCACTCCACGTCACCGGGTCTCTCTCCCAATACCACCCCAGCAGGATCAGATACCCCCGATTATTCCTTCAAGGGATTAACTAAAATAATTAATAATTAATAATTAGGGATGTACTCATCCTTCATGCACAATGTATGTACCCGCAACACCCGTTATCCCGTTCAATTTTCCTTATTGGGAATTTAGGATTCCCATCAGCAGAATTTTCCCTTATTGGGTAAAATTAGGAAGCCTGTCTTTTGGCTAAAAATAGATCAACTGCACTGTATCTGTTCTGGTCAGTTTAATATCTGATCCGTGGTCCATCGGGCCACGTTTGAGGAAAAAAAAAGGAAGCCTGCTCATTGGGAAATTTACCTTATTAGGGAATTGAGAAGCCCACTTACAGTGTCCTTTTGGACATCTGTTAAAATTGGAATGATGCAGAGAGAGAAGATTAGCATGGATGACACGCATTGATGGAGAAATGATCCAAATTGAAAAAGAAAAAGAAAAAAAAAGAAGAAAAAGGCCACTTACAGCACATAACGCTGCATGTGGCCATTAGAGGATGCGCTAAAGCTGCGCATGGGTCCGGTCAGCTGGGCCCGGAAAACGACAGCCACGCACCAAACCAGGCAAGGGAAGCGGCTGCTCCACCTGGTGTGTGGGTGGCATCCCCACTGCATTTGGTCGTGGCCCAGTCAGCTGGGCCCGAAACAACAGCCACACACCAAACCAGGCAAGGGAAGCGACTGCTCGGCCTGGTGTGCGGCACTCGCCCATGGCCCAATCAGTTGGGCCCGACCGACGGCCAGATGGCAAACCAGGCAAGGGTAGTGGCTGCCCGACCTGGTGCGTGGCACCATCGCGGCACTCACCCGTTAAAAAAAGATGACATGCTTGTGGCTTTCAGAGTCTCCACGTCGTGAAGGGGTGCAAAGTGGCCGTGGTATACAGGGGCTTTGGAGGCCACATACGCTGACGTCTCTCTCTCTCCATAGCTGGTTAACCGGGCGTGTTATTTTCAGCGAATTTTCCACCATGGTAACCGCCCGGACGTCCGGACCGGGTTCCAGACAGTCCGGTGTCCGGTTCCTATGTCCGGATGGAGGCCCCTGGGGCAAAAATCAAAAAAAAAAAAAGGGGCGGCCCAGGACGTTTGTCGGGTCCTAGCCGCCCCTCGAAAAATAACGGGGTGATTTTTAAGTGTCCTTTCACCCCACCGGGCATGGCCTAGAGGTCTTTGACACAAGACACTGCAGGTTTTTGAGGTGGCGGGTTTCGCACAGGCCCGAGCAATTTCAAAGCGGCCG